CTTATTGTATTCAAAGGACAATTCCATTTATGATACAAACGAACATTTAAACATTTTTATTATTAGCCTATATCTCATATATATATATATATTTACTTAAATCCTTTTGTTTACTTTTTCATTTACAAGGATTTCCATTTTCTTACATCATTAAAGTGTTTTATAAGCTGAATGTGGGAACACGCAGTATCATGTGAATTTGATTAGATTATGTCATAAAGATGCAATGTTAAATAATATTTTCATTAATGTCCTTTAAATTCTCATATATTCATTTACTCTATCCTTCAATAAATCAGTTATATAAATTATAAATTATTTAATTGTAATTATTCGCGGTATTTCCAGAAATTCTTCTGTTAACACTGTGCATACAGACCTTAATAATGTAAAAATATTATCAATTTATTGACAATTTTGCACTATTGCAATATAGGCAGGCAACTTCTAAAACTTCCATAAAGGTAGATTTATTAAATTCATATAATTAGCAGTACAATCTGCTTTTAATGGGTATAACACTTTCTTACTAATAAATAAGACTGTGTATACATTCATTCTCTTCATAGCTAATTGTTTTTGTTCATACTTTCAGACACATTTCTTTCCAGACAGGTTTCATTAATGGGAACAAGGGACACAAACAAACAAATATTCATACGTAGAAAAGGAAAACACTGTTTATATAATTTAAGTTGAACAAATCATACATTCACTTTCTCTTACAAAAATAGTAAACGATCCTCGTTAATAACGCGAGCAGACACGAATTGTTTCTATTCCTGTTAAAGTATTTTTCCTATTGTGATGAGACTTCATACTTGAAACAGTCTTCAAATATCATTTCTTAAAATGCTTGATAATATCAAACTTTTAAATAAACAAATAAAATATATTAGAGAAATTATTTTTTTTTTTATTATAAATTAGTTTTAGTTAAATCTTCTTGGATCATTGCAAGTAATAATATTAGATATCATTTTTATTTTAATAAGATAAAAAACACATTACCAATAACGTAATTACAAGATTATTAACAAGAATGAATAAAATTTTTTCTTCTATCATTTTTGCTTGATATTATCCAACATTTTAGAAAAAAAAAAAAAAAGAAAAATATTGAAGAGTTAGATTCGCTACATTGATCAAAAATTGTTCTAATTCAATTCTATTACCTGCGATCTCTCTCGAGCATTTGAACATCTCACGTAAGAAGTTAGCACACTTCAGAAAAATTACAAGTACACATCTTTGCAGCCGAGCATTCGCTACAACATACATCCGTTAAGAAAAACTGGCAATTCATTTTTCATATTTTATAACAAGAATGTTGCAACAATATAAATAGCAGATTGAGTTAATTTCTTAAGTATGCCTTAAAGTGGGTTCAAACTTGAAGTTTCGAATTCTCTTCTTTTTGATTATATTTATACCTATTGGATGATGACAATTATAGGGTAATAAAAAAAAATTATAGGGTATAAAATTAATCTTTATCATTTAACGCCTAATTTTTAAACATTTATATGTCTCATTTATGTGCGTTCGACGTATATATCTTTTCAAAACATTTCTGACAATTTGAAATTTTCTTTTCGTAATAAGGCTTACAGCGGTTCTTTATAATGGAAGTTATTATAAGGGAATGAGAAGATACACCTGTAGAAATTTGTAACTAATGTTATATTATGTAAAATCACGTTCTTTGATATTTTGTATACACATGTGTAGATGTGTATGGATGCATAACAAATAATAATTTGTTAGAATCTCCCTCTTTAAGGCAATATTCCTGGTATATGAAGTCACAGAAGTATTTCTGGTGATTTGCATTAAGTATCAAATTAAGCTCTGCATGCATTTTTTTCTTTTTTTTTTTTCTTTTTTTTTTTTTTTTTTTTTTTGTCTTTTTTTTTTATTTTTCTTTTTTTTTTAATCTTCATATATGTTAGACGCCCAAGCTGCATAGTACTCAAGGTACACTTGCAAATCTTTCTCCCATAAGGACCATACACAAAGTGAAATAACCTAAAGATCTTCATCATCCTCCGGCAATGCCGTTTCTTGCGCTTCTTTAAGATCCTTTTCAATTTGTTGCTGCCATTGTGGATCCATTGTAACTTCTGGTGGAAGTAATGCAGGCATAGCAACAAACTCAAGATTTGGATCTCCAATCAATTTGCGTGCCAACCACAAAAATGGTTTTTCAAAATTGTAATTGCTTTTTGCACTAATATCATAGTACTGTAACATACACATGAAATAGGACAACATAAATATACACACAAACACACACACATATATATATATATATCCATGAATGTACATTATTATAAGTTAAGGAAATTACAATTATTTTTTGCAAATTTAAGCTCAGATTAGAGGGACAGAATAATGTCTTCACATTAGATTAAGAATTCTGAGATTCATCGTTGCTTATCTTACTTAAAGTTAAAATTTAAAATTATATTTGATACGAGCATAATCTTAGAAAAAGATTAAAGACAATTTAATACCTGAAGATTCTTCTTCCTATGGAAGACGATACTTTTGGCCTTTACTTTCCTATCCTTAATATCAACCTTGTTACCGCACAATACAATAGGTATATTTTCGCAAACTCGCACCAAATCTCTGTGCCAATTAGGTACATTTTTATACGTCACTCTAGACGTAACATCGAACATGATTACAGCACATTGTCCTTGTATATAATAACCATCTCGTAAACCACCAAACTTTTCTTGACCAGCTGTATCCCACACATTGAATCTTATTGGACCTCTATTTGTGTGAAAGATCAGTGGATGTACTTCTACTCCTAATGTCGCAACATATTTCTTTTCAAATTCACCCGTCAAATGGCGTTTGACAAAAGTTGTCTTTCCAGTACCACCATCACCAACAAGTACGCACTTGAAGGTGGGCATATCTGGTTCTTGCGCCATTTTGATGATATTTTAAGCTATATCCAAGGAATTTATTTATAAGAGAAGATCTGAAAGATAAACATAAAAAAAAGTTTTAATCTAACTTACTATCCCTACAAAATTCATTCGTCGATAATTAACTGCATTTTATTATTCATATTATTAAACGTAAATTCAATTGAATATTTTACATACACATATATATATATATATACACATATATACATATACATATATATCAAATATTAATTCACTATGGTACAAACTAGAGCACACGTTATCTACAATGCGGTAATCTTATACGAAAAAAAAAAAGGAAAAAAAAAAAGAAAAAAAAAAGATATTAGATGATTTTCGCTTGTATTAAAAATATTTTCATTTTAATACAAGGGAATAATAGAAAACAATGCAATTAAAAAGTACAAAGATATCACAAAACCTTTAATAAAATCGGTTAAAAGATGAACGCTTTTTCGGCCAGCGTGTAGCTATTCTCTTTCGCTGTTACTGGAAAACCCGTAATCACCTTCAAATCACGTGTCGAAGAAGTGATCGATGAATTTGAAAGCGCGTTAATTTCTATGATATTTTAAGACATATAAATGAGAAAAAAAAAAGAAACACATTCGGAAATTAGTCGGTCGATTAACTCGAAAAAAAAAGCCGGCTGTATCAACGTCCCGCGCTCTGTTCCTCCTATTCTATCTCTCTCTCTTTCTCTCTTTTACCCTTAACACGCGGAGACTAGAATTTGCGTTTCACGAAGAATGGCTCCCTCCGTTATGCATACAAGACTTTTTTTCACTAACGTACTTAATATTTCTCACCGATATTTCATGAGAAAATATACGTGATATATGAGTGAAGCTTTATTTTTCCTCGAACCTGACAAAATTCGCCGACGTTCGTACAAAATTTCCCGGGAAGCAACGATGTACGTGAAAATGACCGATAGAACTTACCGTGCGGCACAGTCGTTATGGCTCACAATGGCGTTCCTTTAAGCCGACGAGCGGTGCCTCCTGTCTTCCTTGTCATTCGTTGAACAATGTTAGATCGAATTTGTGAAAAATTCTTCTTCTAATCGATGTAAAAAAATTTAATTTTTATTTTTATCCCATTAAATTGATAAAATAAAACACGATATAACGATATTCGAAAAAACATGACAATAGAAATGCGTTTTAAAGAGGCGACATCTTCAAAAACGTAACATATACGCCATCAAGATGAGTGGCTGCAACAATGATAGTGTTCATTTTGGAATCATATAAAAAGAAAGGAAAAAAAAAAGAAAAAAAAACAAGAAAGAAAATTTCCTAAATCGCATACAATGCGTCTTCATTGAACTTCTCATAAGTTAACGATTAGAATATAATTCTAATAGATATTCTATTAATATTAAGATGAAATACATTAAAATAAATGGTAAGATAAATTTAATTTGTCTTCGCGAGAACATCTATTATTTGTAATTGGAAAATGTTAAATAAAAAATTCTTTATATATTACATGTTTTCCATTATAGATTCTAATCATAGAGTTTATACTCTATGTTCTGTAATGTTATTGGTCAATTTTAATAGGAAGCATCAGTAATGTATAATTCGTATTTATACAAGTGTCCAACTTCATCATCTTGCTAACACATCGAACGAACCAATCAGAGTATAGCATTCCTCAGGTACATTCAACTATATAATACATGACAATATTTCAATCATTTATGAATACCTTTTCAAATTGGAAATAATTGAAAATTATTCTAAATTATTTATTTAATTCGTTGGAACATAATAAATGTAATGATCGTTTTTCAAATGAACGATTCATATATATGATACAAAAATCGTGATCGTAAAAAACATGAAGAATGATTACAAAACGTAATACATCATTTCTGAGTAAGAAGAAAAAAATTTCTTAAAAGGATAAAAGTTTCAGGAGAAAAAGAAAGGAAAAAAAAAAAAAAGAAAAAGAAATATGAAGAAGATTGAATGCCGTCGAATGTTAAAGGGGCACCTATTATCCTGAGTACGCTCCTGTCGAGTGCTGACGTAATCGACGCAAGCGCACGTCACTGGACGGCACTGCAGAAGCAGGCGAGTTCGCGAGTGTATCGATTTTGCGATCGTGTCTCTCGCGACTAGTGCGTCCGTTTCCTTTAGTTTTTAGTGGCCGTGCTCGTCGTACATGGATGAAATCGTGAATGGGATTACCCGCTAGGTTAATTGCACCGTACATCCGTTGACTCGCAACGCCTCGTCACCCATCAGCATGACCAAGGATAGATTAGCAGCTTTAGTCGCGGTGAGTGTGTTCGTTCGTATCTAGATATATACGATGAAAAGTATTCTTAAAAGAGAGAAAAAGAAAAAGAGTAAAAAAGAGAGAGAGAGAGAGAGAGAGAAAGAGAGAGAGAGAGAAAGAAATAGAGAGAAAGAGGAAGAAAGAGAGAGAGAGAGAAAGCAAAAGAGTGAAACCTAACGAATAAGAAAAAAGGCAAAAGAGAGAGAGAGAGAGAGAGAGAGAGAGAAAGTCAATTAAATTTTTTTTCTTTTTTTTTCGTGTCATAATTTTTCTTTTTTCTTTAATCTTTTTTAAATGTCCTATAAAATCTATCCCCCTTCTCTTATTCTGTCCTCTTTTCTTGCCTTTTTCTTGGCACGGTGGATCTGTCATCGAACACGCATCTCTCTCTCTCTCTCTCTCTCTCATTCTAGGCCGGCGTACGCCTTTGGCACTAACCGAAACAGGCGTTTCCGCTTACGGCGAGTCATAGACGCCGACGACGATGACGATTGGGATTATAATGACGATGACGATAACGACGTGATTCTGACAGTTCGTTCTATCCTTGCAATTCTTTCCCTTCTTCGAATACGCCCGATATCATCAAGTATTATTAAACATCAGTAACATTGATACTCTATCGAACTGTCACAATGATCATTTTTCTTAACCTCTTTCAAAGGGATTTTCACTCGTTACACTTCAATGAAACTTTTCTTTAAACTCTTTGGATTTAATTGTATTCAAGTTAATCGATTTTTCGACTTTTCGTTCCTTCCTTTTTTCCTCTAAAAATATCCATCGGTTTAGTTTTCTCCGATATATTTGATCTTTAGGGAGAAAAAAAAAAAAAAAAAAAAGAAGAAAAAAAGAAATAGAAAGATCTTTATCTTATCGTTCGTTAAAGGAACTCGTGCTTTTCATGATATCAAAAGAATCAATTTCAATTCGAGTCATTTGTTCTTTGTTCAGAATGATTCATAATTTATGATTACATATGAGAATTTCAAAGAGAAGGGAGAGAGAGAAAGAAAGAGAGAGAGAGAAAGAAAGAGAGAGAGAGGGAGAGGGAGAGAGAGAGAGAGAAAATCGACACAATGATTATATATCTTCGATTCCGTCATTCATTGGTAGCTGCGTAAAGGATGCGTTTGCGTCAGAGTGACGGAATCGAAGCACGGTACTATAGTACGTACGTAACTCTCTCTCACTCTCTCTCTCTCTCTCTTCTTTTCCTCTAAAAACAATAAGTAAAAGAGAGAGAGAGAGAAAGAGAAAAACTCTAAAAGGATCACATGGAATTCACATTTATGTTTTCCTTCACTCCTTCAGGCACGATATTTAAAATTTCATATCGATAAAGTAGCGATGAATTAACTCTCAATGAACATAATCAAAAATTATTACCAGACATTATTGCACTTTTCTTATTTTAATTCGACAAAATTCGATAAGACGTTATCTTTTTCAAGAAATGAATTTTTATTATTTCTAACGAATGTTAATCCCTACTTGCTATTGTTTCATTATGATATTAATGCATATATACATATATATATATATATATATGTGTGTGTCTATGACATGCAAATACATATGTACATATGTACATATGTATGAACGATTGTTAATCATTTCGATAATAGTCGTGAATCTTCAAACTAACGATAAGTATAACTAACATCGTTTCAAATGCGCATACGTCGTCTTTTCATTAGAGAATTTCACTACTCGGAATATAAAAGAAGTATGTATAACTATCGATATAAGTTCAAAAAGTATCTTCGTATAGAAAAAGTTAAGGGGAAACGTTATAGAACAAAATTTAATTTTGAATAAATTTCATTCAGAATAAATTTCATTTTGAGAAAGTTTGCACGATTCAATAGCTCTGATATAATTTATGCGATAAATGATGTGTGTATTTATGTGTGTCCTTGTGTGCGTATGTGTCTGTATAAGTTAGTTAATACGGTATCACACGCAACAAGTTCCTCTTACTCTCTTCTCTCCTTTATCACTTTTCTCTCTGTCTCTCTCTCTTCCTCTCTCTCAATCTGTCTTTGCATCGTATACTTTTTTGCTTGACTAATTTAAAAGTTCTTCCATCTCGGTCGGTCCGATAATCCTTCGCTAGATGAATTTAAACGTTATCCTCTCTCTCTCTCTCTCTTTCTCTCTCTCTCTCTCTCTCTCTCTCTCTCTCTCTCTCTCTCTCTCTCTCTCCATCTATCTATCTATATATTTCCCATACTTTTTATCCTCTTTCAGTCTTCCTTTTCATACCGCACAATACGATCGTGGTATATTAATCGCTATCGATTGTTATCCAACGTCCAATTCTAACTTATTGATATAAGCGAGCATTTTTTAATGGCCCGAATGAATTTTCGCGCGCAGATTTCGCCTGGTGTCTACAGGCGAGAAGTATCGATCGCCGTAGTGGTCGGCGGCCGCCTTACCGACCCCCTTTATTAGACTGTATTAACACGTCTGATGTCTAAAAATGACTTTTGATTGTATGCAAATATAGTATCGATCAAAGCTCAAGAAATTAGTCGATGAAAATGAAATATAAATTTCATTAAGTTCCTAATAGATTCATCTTTGAAAGTTACTTCCCTATATGATATATTTCCAAATGAATTTTTGTCTATTATATTGACCATTAGAACGTTGATTGGATGAGAAAGAAAATGAAATAGGAAAAAAGAAAAAGCAACGTGTCGTTCGTTAATTGGGACGATGAAATAACTCTGTGCCTAACCGTTTTGTGATTATCATTCTCACGATTTTCCATGATTACTCCTCAATTCTCGCTAACGGCGAAGGCCGTTAGTTTAGCGACGGGTCAAGATCGCGGCTCGTCGAACGATAATACGATTACGTCGTGTTACACCAGAGAGGAAGGAAGTCTTATCGGGGATGAGAGAATGGCACGCACTATGCGTTCGAATACGTGGGAGCTTGAACCATACGATTAGAGAGGAACGAGGACGGAGGATAATGACGAGGACAACGAGACCCTTCAAAATCGCCAATCACATAACCGTAAAGAAGAATAAAAAAACCTCTTGACCTCGGGAAAAGCTTTCGTAAGCTTCTAACGTTAAAACGAAAGAGAAAAGAAAAATCGATAGGGGCCAGCATGCGTGAGAATCGTTGACACTAAAAGTTATCGTCGTAACTTCCCGATATATTGTTCTATCGATCATTCTATATTCATCTTCTTTTTTTTATCTCCTTTGCTTCCTTCTTCATTTTCTTTTTTTTTTTTTTTGTTTTTTTTTCCCTTCCTTTTTTTCCCTTTTATCTCGACAATTATTCGATAAGTGTTATTTTTATTTATTACAGGCCCAGTCGGACGACGATGACGTGGCGGACGAGGTGTCCGTCAATGTCGGCGGGCCGGATGACTTCATGACGGAGTTTTTTGCGGAGGTGAGTTTAAGCTTTCGCTTTCATTTCTTATTAATAAGTATTCTCGTGAGATAAGGTTCATAGATCGATCATAGAGATCGACGACATTGAGAGCTTTCTTTCTATAAGCCCTCATTCATCTAATGGAATTATTCTCCTTTTTCTTCATATTTTCTATCTATTTTTTCTTTTATTTTTTTTTCTTTCTTTTTTTTTTTTCCTATACACGTTTCAGTATACACCAATCGTTCACAATGATTTCCTTTGAATTCGTTTCGATTCGTAAAATTCAATATAAATATTTTTCGATAATGCGATTTCTCATTGAGAAATTAAAAATATTAGTAATCGTTCAATGATAATGCAATTGCCCGTTTAAAAGAAATGAAATAATTATTTTTCACTTTGAAAATTCGAGTAACCAATCTTCCGATGAATTTAAATTAAAAAGAAATTGAATTCGACTATCTACAAAGTTTAAGGAATCTAAATTAAGATTCGAACTTATATATAGTATATAAGTTCGGATTAAAATCAATCAGATTAGTCGTCCTCGTGATGTGACGAAAAACTGATCGAACGAGGGAAAACTAAGTTGAATTAGATAATCCGCAATGAATTGCTAGACTAATTTAGAAAAGAAGTCGTGATTGGAACGAACGTTATATACCGGTGCTATCCTTTTAACGATTCGAACTGAAAATTTTGTTAGGTTGTCAAAAAGTTTTACACGTTACTGTTCCCAATTCTTCTTTTCTCCATGCTGACTTGTTAAACTTTTGAAAACTCTAACGCTTATTCTATTCCATTTACACGCTATTTTAAAATGTTCCAAACAATTTTTTATTTCCCTTCTTCCTATTTCTTTAATTCTTAACATTTTTATCGTCTTCTTAATAATTTTTCTATCCCATTTAATCGTCGTAAAGTTAATGATTCTCATTTCTTCCTTTTTATACTTTTCATTTATTCTTCTCTTTTATTCTTTTAATTTAACGTTATAATATAAAGAGCGAGCCAAAAGTTTTCAGATGATTTACTTTTTTTTCGAGACTTTGCAAGTTCATTTTTTTTTTTTCTTTTCTTTTTTTTTATCAGTTTGGAAAACTGTAAGCCCAACTTCTAAAATTACACTCCTAATTATAAGCCTAAAAAGTCTCGAAAAGAAGTAATTGATTTTTAAAAATTACCTAGCAACTTTTGGTCCATTATATATATATATATATATATACCTTCGTATCTTCCGGTTTTCCCCGTTTCCCGTTTTGTGCCGCTTGTCGTTTTATTTCCGATGACGACGACGACGACGACAACGACGGTGCGATTCGATGGCGCGATTCGGCGTTCGAAAGTAGGTTAAACCAGTATCGAAGAGAAGAGAGAATTCACGAGACCGTGCACAGCTCGAACGAGCTAGCTATCGGTCTTGGACTTTTAACGAGGACAATGTTCACCTTCTTCTTCTTCTTCTTCTTCTTCTTTTTCTTCTTCTTCTACTTCTTTTTCTTTTTCCTCTTTTTTTCCTTCTTCTTCTCCCTTTTCTTCTTTCTTCTCCATATATGTGTACTGTCCCTGATAAAATACCGTCATTCTTCTCGATTCAACCTCCCTTCTTCATTGTCGATCATCTTACTTTTCTCCTTTCCTGTCCCGTTAGCTTATGACAACGAACCGAACACGTTTATTATATACTCGGAGGGTGGCCCTGTCATGAGTCATATTCGATACCTCGTATATCGACGTCCTCGATATGCGAGGTGAACTCCCACACAAAAAGCTCCCTATTGGTAAATAGTTCGTGTTGGATAGAAAAAAGAAAAAAAAATATATATATATATAAACTGAAACATCGATGAAAATGGTGTTACAGTATTTGTTGAAAAATGATTAAGCATAAAACAGAATAAGTTAAATGTACGCGAACTATTTCTTTTTTTTTTTTTTTTTTTAAGAAAAACAATTAAGCATTTATAAATATGAATTATTTAGAATAGACAATCGTCATTAAAGGATTTATTTAAAAACTGGACACATTTGTAAAAATATAAAAAAAAAATGATGAGAGTAACTATAGCGAGATATTATATATAGAACATAAATGCTCTAATGAACTTTCTTTTTTTTTTCTCCTTCCTCTCTGTAGTACTTTTCTGTCTACCCTTTTTAACACGTTCCGTGCCGAGGCGCTTTTTGTTCGACCTTTCATTCAGGCCATTTAATGTTTTAAGTAAAGATTGATATATTATCATACAATATTTCATCATATCATCAATCCATAAGTAATTAGCTTGTATATAGTAATTATTATATCGTGTACCATCCTTGGTACACGTAATGCTGCAATCAGTTTTATATATTTTTAGGGCATTAAATAAATGTGCCAGCGTGTACTACCCCTGGTACAAGTGGCCTGAATGGAAAGTTTAACTTGTACACCATCAGTGATACATACAGCACGGAACGATAATTTTTAAAAGTCAATTATTTTTTCTCGAGACTTTTTAGACTTATAATTAGGAGGATAATTTTGCTGTAGGCTTGTAGTTTTACAAACTGATAAAAAAAAAAAAAAAAAAAAAAAAAGAAAAGAAAAAATGAGAGAGAGAGAAAAAAGAAAGTCTCGAGAAAGGGTAATGAGTTCCACATTTTTAAGGTACAACGCTGTATATCATTAGTTACGAGTGTTCAGAACATATTTCATAACTGTTCCTTAAATTTTGATATCATGGTACGTGATTCCAAACGTTATAAAGTTTATCCATACCTTTTATATACTCTCGAAACTCGGTCTTATCATCATCCCTTCGTCTATTCATTTTTTTTTTCCTTTCTTGATCTCTCCAAATGGAACGCTCTTTTCGTAAGATCATTATCGTACTTCGATGTTTATCTCTTAATATGCATCCTCTTCTTCAAACGGATCTTTCCTCTCATTTTAAGCCGGCTCTACGTCGTCGGATTTACTTTACTCTTGCGAGAGAGAGAGAGAGAGAGAAAGGAGGAAGAACACACGTATTTTATCGCATCCGTATCTTTCTTTCAAAAGTCCTTCCTATTCAAGAATAACGGGAAAAATCTCCCTGGATTGTCCTTAATCCGTACCACCGATCGTGACGCATGTTTCGAACATTCCTTTTAACGTTCACTCCACGATTGCACATTTTCCCACAGCGTGTACGCTCTTATACCTTACGGATTTTCACTTTAATTTCATTCTTTCGTCCTGATTTTTCTTTCTTTCGTTTTTGCCTTTCTTTTCTTTTCTTTTCTTTTTTTTTCCTTTTTTTTTTATGCTTGCAAGCGTGTATTTCTTTTTTTTCTTTCTTTTTTATTCCTCTTTTTTCTTTTTTTTTTCTTTTTTTTTTTTTTTAACAAGAAACAAGGAAATACATAGAAAATCATTAAAAGTACGAGAATAACGTTTACAACGAATGTCACATTTATAAAAAGAAAAAAAATTTTGTAAAATAATATTAATAAATTAATCTATATGAGAGTGTAAAGGACACAGGATAATAATTCCAAGGAATGAACCATTTACGCGAGAATATGATATATATATGGAATCTAAACAAACCCTGTCCTTTCATCAGACATCTTTGAGTAGGCAGCCTTGAGGAGATCACTCGCAGAAGTAGTTTTGAGTTAGTGATATACTTTGACACTAACGAGGCTTACCCTAGAACTTGAAATAGCATATTATCTACGCCAATGTGTGTGTCTGTGTGTGTCTGAGAGAAAGAGAAAGAGAAAGAGAAAGAGAGAGAGAGAGAGAGAGAGAGAGACGACAATGATTGTCCCTATATATCCGTTTTCTAAATGAATTCATTTCGAGCTATAAATATAAATTCCTTATAAATTTTTCGAAGAAACGATTATTGAAACGAATAGTAAAGATATTTCATATACCAAACGAACAATTGTTCAAATAATTAGTCGTATTTAATATTTATCTGATTTTTAATTACGTAAAATTTCAATCTAACGAATTATTATCGTTGTTATTATTATTGTTATTGTTATTGTTGTAATACGCTTCATTGAATCGTCTTACAACAGGCTAAACCGCTTCAGAGTGTTCTTATTTCTCCTAGCCGACCTCTCACACATATCGGGTTTCTATACTCACGTGTATGTTCGATCAGACGTAGCTTTTACTACTTGCCCGGACTCTTGTAGTCCTTTACGAGCGTGACTTGGCGACGCTACTCTCTCTCTGTCTCTCTCTCTTTCTCTCTCTCTCTCTCCCTCTCCCTCTCTTTCTCTCTTTTTTCCACAGTGCCAACTATTATTCCTCGAGTGTGACGTGATGCATGCTTCAATCCGGAAAGCACGTTACATATGTATATGCATAATATATACGTATATACATGTGTACGTGCACGAGAAAGCTCGATTAAATCGGGTTCACTTGTAGCGTGCTCGCTGTTTACTTTTTCTTTCTTTTTTTTCTCGAATGAAAGAAAGAAAGAAAGAAAGAAAGAAAAAAGAAGAAGAAAAAAACATTCACTTTATCATTAATCGTACTAACTTATATTGTCTCTTTGCTTTCATGCTCCTTTTTTCTCTTTTTTCTCCCTTTTATTTTTATTTTTATTTTCTTTTAGGTGGAGGAGATACGTGAAATGATAGATAGAATCCAGACGAATGTCGAGGATGTCAAGAAGAAACACAGCGCCATTTTATCGGCGCCACAAACGGACGAGAGTGAGTCTAAATCCTTCTTATATCTCTACTCGAACCTAAGTCTAATGGTTAGAAACGTTTGAAAGAGTAAAAAACAAACGTTATGTATTGAATACTAACAACGGGTATAGCGCATACTCATACGTCCTCGAAACTTTCTTTGATTCGTAATGCTCGCGTTTTACGGTGAAAGAAAGAAGGAAAATAAGGAAAAGAGGGGGGTGGAAAGAGAGGGGAGGAGGAGGGAAAAAGGGAGGAAAAAAGCAAGAAAAAAAATCAACGGTAGGATTTGTTAAACGAAATCTAGAAAGGCGGTAATGCTCGTTTGACTCGATGGCTTTCGTGGTGAAAGGCGATAAATGAGCCTTGATATTCTTCAGCTCGGCAGCCGAATTCAATAGCGAAGCGGAGCGAGGTAACCGTTAAGTTTGAAAGCAGAGAGAAAGAGAGAGAGAAAGATAGAGATAGAGCGAAGGGTGTCGGCGGTTGCTTGCCAGTCCCACGAGGGAGACGGAAACAGGGGCTGGGGGTTGGTAATCGTCCTTGCCCTGGTTGCCGTTGTAGCTGCCAGCTAGGGTTGGTTTATCATCCTCTACACCTACACCATCGCTCGCGCACACGCACGACAATTCTTTTTCTTCCTTCCTCTTTCTCTCTTTCCCTTTCTTTCTCTCTTTTTCTCATATTCTCTCACGTTCCTTCTTTCGAAGCGATGATTTCATCTTTTTTTCTTTCTTTCTTTTTTCTTTCTTTTTTTTTCTTTTTTTTTTTTTTTGTTTTTGTTTTGTTCAGAAAGCCAACACGTCTGTTCCGTTTCTCACGTTGGCTAGAAAAGTGCCATTATTTATTTTCCTTATCTCTCACTTTTCTTATCCCTTCATTCTCCATTCTTTTAAATACGATTCGTATACATTACGATAACAAATTTTCATCGGGGAAGTAATTATTCAAGTGCGGATACATCGGGAGACACGTGATCTATTATCTGGATATAATAAAACTATGCCGTGTACGACCTTCTTCTTACTTTGTCTCTCTCTCTCTCTCTCTTTCTCACGTTCGCTCTGTCTTTCACTCTCCTTCTTCTTCCACTCGGCAAGTTTTAATGCTGGCACAGCTAAGCTCCAGTTATGTCAAAGGAAGCGTCAGAAGCAACGTACATAGCTTTTGTGTGTAGATATACGCCTGGCACTTGCGTTTATTATACCGCATAGCTCGTTCTATGAGCCGACGATGAGAGAGGAGCAGAAGAGAAAAGAATTGAAAGAGAGACAAAAATGAAGCGTTACTTCCAATCAAAGGGACGTCACGGTGGTATACGTCAAGCGAAAGAATCGAATGTAATATCGAGTTAAAATAATCGATTTTATTTTGAGAAAAGGAAAGAAAAGAGAAGAGAAAGATAAAAGAAAAAGACGGATATTATCTCTTATTTGCTATCGCATTATGATAAATAATCGTATAAGTGTACTATATATACACAGTAAATGATATCATGAACTTTCTCTCTCTCTCTCTCTCTCTCTCGCTCTCTTTCTCGTATTCTCTCGATTATTTCCTGCTTGCACATGCGTACGAGATGACATTAATTTAGCCTCGTACCAATGTATGGATATTAAAAATGTACCTTTTAAAACATCCGACTGGTATATATCTCTTTCTCGCTCTCTCTCTCTTTTTCTCTTTCTCTTTCTTTTTCCTCGTCGAAGAACGTAATATTAATGACGTGAACTGGAAACCGTGTCGCATTTGTCTCTCGGTAGCTCGATAATCGATTACTCTCACGCCACTTGCGTTTTCCATAAAACTATAGAAGTGTTATACATTCAATGTATGTATGTGATAAAGCAACGAAATATGCTTTACTATTTATCCATTGTTCGATTACACGCATAAGATAATTACACGTACTGTATTATTAGTATTCAGTATTAATCATAGATCGGATGATGTTTATTCTTATTGTATATACAAATAGATCGTACGTACGATCGCATACTTAGGTATATAGTTCTGGATTACGTGCGTCGTGTGTACCAAACGTTCGCACGTGTGTACACACGATGATCGATTTAGGCTGCTTATATGACGTAAACATTCTCGATCGAATACGTTTAGTCTAATTGTAAGACACGTAATGGACTACTTTATTCGGAGATTTTTTTCCAAGATTTTGCAATACATAACCTGTTAGATTTAAAAAAAAAAATAAATAAATAAATAAATAAATAGAAGAAGAAAAAAGTTATATTACAGAGAAAAGCGTGGATGTTATTTGCAACAGGTTGACGTTGATGGATGTAGAAGTCTAAGCAAAGTCCAGTCAACTCATTCTTTCTATCGCGTTCTATCGTTTCTCTTTTTCTATCCGTTCGTTATCACTTCCTTTTGTCTCTCTTTTCTTATATATATGTTCTCTCCAATATGTATTCATTTTTGTATTTCATGTATTTCATTTTTGCTCGATGTCTTTGATAATATGAATTTAAAAAAAAAAAAAAAGAGAGAAAAAGAGAAAGAAAGAAAGGAAACAATGAAAGCGTTTATTAATAATGCAAAAATCAACAAGGAAAATTTAATCATGCGCGTAGGTAACAAAATCACGCATGAGTGTAGGAGGAGATGTTTACTAAAAGGACTAATTAATGCAGTGGGCGTTTCATCAAAAGTCCACGGATCACCTCCGGCAAAGATGTGCAATACTAATAAATCCCACGGTCTTTGTGATCTTTACTTTTTTATTACAATCTTTTATATTACGATTATTATTATTATTATTATTACAGTTAAATGTTTTTTTTTTTCGACGTAAAAATGAAATAATTCGATACAATGAAATAATTTGGTATTATTCCGAATTGTTCGAAGAGACATAAATCATCGATGTTACTAAAGATGTTGCCATTAACTCATTAATAGTATTTATCAGATTTTTTGGAAGGTTAGGTTACTTATTGGACCTTGACTATCTCCGGATTCGAGGCATAATAGTATAACGTATCTGATTGACTTGCTGCTTTTAGCAGTGGTAAACCGATGGTATTGATTTCACTCCGCAACTCTGGTAGGTTCTACCGTATGTATTCAATTCAAATACCAACCACGTTCTTCTTTCGTTGTCGTTGTTAAAACGTTATTGAGTATTTTAATCGGCCCCGAAAAATAATTATGTCAGGTGGATACTCGATTGATTCGTTCGAAGGGTGTAAATGAAAAAATTTTGCAGTTTATACGAGTAGCCTGGGCAGCATTCCGTGATTTCGCTGCGTAAGCATAAAATATAAAACTTTCAATGGAATCTACAGAAATGGAGTCTACTTTTTATCGCCTTCATTTTGATGACTTATTTCTTTCCACCTATATTTGTACAATTTTCTTGAATTGATTAAAGTTATAATTAAAAAAGAAAAAAAAAATCTCGATATGCACAAGATAAATTGTGTGCATTTGTGCGTTAATTAAAAATCAAATACGTTTCACGGTTCAATCTATCTTTTCTATCTTTTTTTTTTTTTTTTTTTTTCTCTCTCGAGATCATCGAAAAAGCTCATCGGCCTAGTTCTTTCTGAGTACTTTCGTGATCTCTCTCTTTTTCTCTCTCTCTTTCTCGTACTCTGAGAGTATTGAAATTGACCTTTGAGGTGCTTAGAAAGAAGATAAGACGAAGAAAGTAAAAGAAAGGACTCTAGGGAAAAAACGAAGAACCGGAAGAAGGTAGTCGTGGGTGGAGAAAAGATTTGTATCACGGAATCAGAAATTGCTTCTGGATATCGTGGAAAGAGGAAGGAAGGGAAATGGAAAGAGAATTGGAAAAAAAAAAGAATGGATGGACGAGAGGAGGAAGGATTCCCATCGTGGTAGGAATGGAAGACATTGGAAGAGTTAGAGAAAGTAAGATAGATAGAGAAAATAAAAGCGTAGGAAGAAGTGGAAACTAATATGCACTTACACAGAACGTACACGTTCTCGAGAAAATCGAAGTTCAATTATAGAATCTAATTTATTAGACATGTTTTACGTTAGTACCTATTCCTACAGCTGGGTTACGAATGCGTACCGTGCATTGAACCAAAGATCGATCTGTCGTTCCCACGGAAACGCCTCTGCCTTCTGACATCTGTCTTCCCTAGCGAAATACGGAAATTTATTCAGTACGAGTCGTAGAAATAACTGCTGTCGTTGATGCCGATGCTGATGCCGATGCTGATGCAGATGCTATTAAATTCGACGAATCGAAAGAGAGCTAGCAAATGTTCTCGTCAATCGTAATTGACGTTTCTATGCTTGCGTATGTTCCATGAAAGGACAAGAGAGAAGGAGGGGGGGGAGAGAGAGAGAGAGAGACTTCATAGACATGCACATATCTCTTTGTGTCTGACAATGAAGGAGCGCAAAGCAGTATTCGATGCAACAGGCAGTTAGCTTTGGTATAACGCGTGCATGATCACGAACAATGTGGCTTCCTTATCGAACATCGTTTCCGCTAACAACTATAAATGGCAATGACGCGACGTATCTCTATGGTAGCGTTTTCATAAAATTCCGTTAGAAAGATCTTATGCTTTTCCATGTAGATCCATCGATCTAATCTTAACTTGATCGATTCTACGAACTAAAATATTTCTGTACGAGAAGTAATTGAATATTTCATTAAAAAAAGATCCGAAACTTTTAATCTTCAAAGTGTGAGAGAGAAAGAGAGATCCTTTCTTCCCTTGGGACTAATAAGACAGGTTGAAACAGTAAAGTACATAATATAGAATAGTCGATGGGTATGCGATGGGGATTTGAGGATGGTAGCTTATCTAGGGCAGATTAAATGGGTCGCGTTACCGGAACGAGGGTTAAACTATAAATTCGTATCGACTACACTCCCTAAGATAGGATTTCATTGAGATACTTTATTGAAATGGCATAACCAAAAGACGAACGTTAAAGAAAATCGATGGATTTTTTTCTTTTTCTTTTTCTTTTTCTTTTTCTTTTTCACAAAATGAGAAAACTTTATGCCATTATTTTTATCTTCATTCACATCAAATCAAAATCAAAAATAGAAAGAGAAAGAAAGAGAAAGGGTAATAAAAGAAGGAAATCTTTAAAAATATTCTCCTTCTCTCTGTGTTGACGATAATCTGATTTATTCTTTATCTCTATTTGGCTCCCTTCCCTCTTTTATCTCCTTTTAGAGGACCATCAAGAATATTTCCACTCGATCTATTCGTATACAAGTCATTTCTTTCAAGAAACCAATTGGAAAGCGAAGGAGAACGATCAAATCGAGAATGCATTTGAATCGTTAAAGCTGGTTTTCCTTTACGATTTGAAGTAAAGGAATGATTCAATAAAATCTGCTCTTCTAAAAATAATATCACGATATATATTAAAATATATATATATATACATCAATATATAAAATATATATCTCTTTCACTATTTCTCTTTCTTTCTTTCTTCGTTTCTCCTTTCCGTCATTTTATAAATGATATAAATATATCGTTCGATTCTAACTACATACATATTTACGAGTTAACCTCTTAGCGTTCACTTCTACTTTTCTTCGTTTTCGTCAAATCACAAGTATGTCCAGAACATTTCGTCTTCGACTATCGAGATAACTTATGTCTAGAAGTAAGCTTGGCACGTTTCCATTTGGCATTAACCTAATTTTTCTAATCCAACTGATAAACACGTACGAAACGCATCTATAAGAATTTCCATTATTACGCTTAGACTTGATTCAAGGTTAAAGGACTTAGTGACATTTTCTAATCGTTCTCGAAAATAATCCAAATTGATTATTTTTGTTTCAATTTAAAAAGAAAATACTACTTACATGTGGGGGAAACTCCATAAGGATTAATGATCCGAATGAACGTCTCCGTCCTATCGTAGGTTAGAACGACGAATGGCCATATCGTAATATTATGTTTGGTACGTATAATAAGAAACGTAAATAATCGAGTCGAATTTTTCGATTGTTTTTCTAAAGAAAACAAAAGGCGAATCGATAAGACGAGAAAGGAGAGATGATTTACGATATACGGATTCGTATAAATATAACTAAAAGTTTCTGGAGTCAACGTTTATTTACGCTTGAACGATCTACTTCCTACCCTCGTTCTCTTTCTTTTACGTCGTCTTCGTCCTTCGTCATATAACATTCGTTTGTTACGCCATAATTCTAGGAATAGTATCTATGACAATGGTATCTCTGTCTCCCTTAATTGTTTGGCATCAATCCAAGTTTCCTAATATCTTCCCAACTTCGATGAGTATCCCTTCTTTTTCTTCTTTTTTATCTTTTTGTTCTTTTTTTTTTCTCCCCTTTTTTTTCTTTCTCCCTTTTACGATCCATCATGAAGAAAAATTCGAATGCTTTCGTTAAAACTTTTATCAATATATTTATAATCTGTCTTGAATAATCGCGATGAAATAAGAAAATATAATAAATCAATGTAAGAAATAACAATAGCAGATCGTTTCAAGTATAGATTGTTTTTCAAAATAACGTAACAAACGAACTTTGGAACTATTGTTTAATCGAGGAATTACGATTGATTAGACATCTTTCCATTGGCAATTCCTCGTCAGTTTTATTCATAAGTCGTCGTCTTTACGTAGCCTAGAGTACGACAAGGTCGACATCACGGGTTCCAGTTCACTGGATTCAGTTGCGGTTAAAACCCACCCTAACCCTCTTGACTTGCTTAGAGAGAGAGAAAGAGAGAAGTGGGAGAAAGAGAGGGAAATGGGAGGAGAAAGAGCTCGCTGCCCTCTTAGCAGGTGGGAGTTTTCGGTTAGTTTCATGTAAACGACCCCCGATTTGTCGTAGTTCTCTCTATTCTAATACACGTCAACGCGCTTATATGCCCGAGAAAGAATTAACAATGATTCTATTATCATTTTCAGTAATCATATTACTGCTCGATGCAGATTTACATAATAATTTTATAAGTTTTCATTCATTCCTCTTTTAAATTTCCTAAAATAACAAACAATTGAATGACAATAAAATATTTCAATATTTTTCAAAAGATTTTTAAAGTATTCGAAGATAATCCATAAGTATCTGTCTGCTGGTAGGATAATCTGATTAGACTAGGCTTCATCGTGCTAAGGCTTCTACATTTTTCTATTCGTTGATACTCGCTCGTTTATACGATGACACGCATCAAAGAAACTATTTGAAAGCAAAATACTACTTTTTTAAGAATGTAATAATATAATGATGTGTTAGATCTTTACTTAAAGATATTTGAATATTATTTGATTTTAAAGAAAGATCGACAAGATGACTACAACATGTAGGATAACAATTTTACGATAAATCTGTGGACTCCAGCAATTTTCTCTTCTTATCTTATCCTATCCTTTCCACTGTCCAAGCTCTTTTATTTTTGACAATGAGCTCTCTTATCTTTCCTATTTGGCAAGTTACCAAATTGTATTCTTAATGGCATCTATATACGAGACATAAGTAGATTGTATTGTAATTTCTAAATACGTTAACAAAAAGATCTTTTGTCAGAATCGATGTACATATGTTACTCGATAAAATACTGTTTGAACTCGGGTTAACTATCGGGATAATCATCATGGGTAATAATCATGCTATTTGGAATATTTGTTTGATGAAACGTAAATGGAGTGAAATGTCAGCTAAATGTATCGCGTACGTAGGTGTGAGGCATTTTTATGTTGTTGAATACCACGCATATAGGAGGTCACGAAAGGATATATTAAAACTTGATCTTCCGAGTGCTCGTCGAATACCTTTTAAATAACACTGGCAATATGAAAATACTTTTGACAACTTTTCCTTCCCGTTTAATATTTAGTAATACAATATACGTCTATGCGTTTCTATATATATACACAGAATATAAAATGAAAAGGGCGTCTAATGGGAATTTAGGACAACAATTTTTAATACCGACGAGTTAACCTTCTTCTTTTTCTTCTTTTTTCTTCTTTTTTTTTTTCTTTTTTTCTTTTTTGTAGAGGTCAAAATGGAGTTGGAAGACTTGATGTCCGACATCAAGAAAACTGCTAACAAAGTCAGGGCTAAGTTAAAAGGTAAGTCGTTTGAAAATCGATCAAAGTTTGTTCAACTTATCGAAAGATTATTCCTTTTATCTCTTGTGCTTTTCCTTCCTTTTTTTTTCTTTTTTTTTTCTTTTTTTTTTTTTTTTTTTTCTATGTTTTTGCATTTAGTGATAGAACAGAATATAGAGCAGGAAGAGCACACGAACAAATCGTCGGCGGATCTGAGGATACGCAAGACTCAACATTCAACATTGTCTAGGAAGTTCGTAGAGGTGATGTCGGAATACAATCGAACACAAACCGATTATAGAGAACGGTGTAAGGGAAGAATACAACGACAGCTTGAAATCAGTAAGTAAGAAAATCGCGATGAGTAATCGCATGAACGCAACGTGATCGATAATATCGATTACACGTGACATATGTGTCTCTGTGTAGATCGTCTCGTGTTGGATCATTTGGGCTTTTTCTTTTGAGATCGTTACTCTTTAACTTTTTTCAGTCGAACATAATAATAAAAGAATGGAATAAACAAATAATAATAATAAAAAATAAAAAAATCTATTTATACACATATGTATCTTGCTACGAGTGCCGTTTATTACAGGCACACATTTTTTTTTTTTTCTTTTTTTTTCTTCTTCTTTTTTTTTTTTTTTTTTTTTTTTTTTTTTTTTTTTTTTTTTTTTTTTTTTTTTTTTTTTTTTTTCGTTGAAAGAGCAAGCTCTACTTGGCCCTCCTTTCAACCCTCTTTTCATCGACCAATAAAGGCTTCCATTTTTAGCGGGGAGGACGACCACTAACGATGAACTCGAAGAAATGCTGGAACAAGGAAATCCAGCAGTCTTCACGCAAGGGGTATGTTCCTAAAAATTTATCGATGATCTCATTCCCCTTCTCTATAATATATGTACTCTTATATTAGTCCAAAAGTAAAATTCCAAGAAATTTCGTTTAGCACGAATATAATTATAATAATTATTGGAGGAAGTATCGTTGAAGCAGTATCGTCGGCGATAAATCAGCTTCTTCAGTTTCTCTTTCTTCTTTTCAAAAATATCTTCAGATCATCATGGAAACGCAACAAGCGAAACAAACCCTTGCGGATATCGAGGCACGTCATGCTGATATTATAAAACTCGAAAATTCGATCAGGGAATTGCATGACATGTTTATGGACATGGCTATGCTGGTAGAAAGTCAGGTATGTTCTCAAACATCATTTCTCTGACCATTCTTTTTCTTTTGTTTTTTTTTTTTAAACCTACATATTTTATTCGTAATTAATCCAAATCGAATTCGTCGTTATGTTATACAGGGTGAGATGATAGATCGTATAGAATATCACGTGGAACATGCGGTCGATTATGTCCAAACGGCCACGCAGGACACCAAAAAAGCACTCAAGTATCAAAGCAAAGCTCGACGGGTAAGTCATGTTAAAATGTTATACTGGACCAACGACGATACTATTATTATTATTATTATTATTATTATTATTATTATTATTATTATTATTATTATTATTATTATTATTATTATTATTACTATTATTATGTGTTCATTATTCTCTTCCCATAGTTTTTTTGTTTCTATCTCTCAATACCGTTTTTCTTCTGATGCCTCTCTCCTCTTCCCACTCTTCCATCTCTTTTTTGATTTGACCTGCGTTTGATAATTTTTATACGTACCTCGCTCTCCCTTCCCTCGTTCTTCATGCACCTTCGCTTTTTTGTTAATAATATATATATATATCGCTCACTCTCTTATACAAGATACCTCCTACCCACGACGCAAATTATCCAAGGACTATGACGCTTTCTTGTGTTTTTCTCTATATGTATCGCTGATGACATGACAAATATTCTTACTACTACTACTACTACTACTACTACTACTATTACTACTACTACTACTACTACTACTACTACTACTACTACTACTACTACTACTACTACTACTATTACTACTACTACTACTACTACTCTACTACTACTACTACTACTACTACTACATAACAGTACAGTCAATGTATGTACATATGTGTACATATATACACGCGCATTATATAATATATTATATTATATATATATATACATATATACTATATACTGTCTGTGTGTATCTCTAACTGTATCGCTCTATCCTGTCGAACATAGGTGTGCTAATTGTGCCTCTGTCCATGAAACGCTCTGTCTATACTCTCATACTATATACTATATATACATACTAAACTGCGCTGTCAAACTAATTGCGTTCTATACGTGATTGTTTAGTGCGTGCGTACATATATAAATATATATAAATATATTTATATTTATATATACACCTAAACACGCGTTTATACTTACTCGTTGTTTTCATCCACTTGTACGAAAATTTTGTTTTGTATTAATCAATTAACACAACGTCTATATAATATCCCTTTATAATCTGAGATAAATCTCTCTATGTGTCCACTATGATTATGTGTTTTTACCATATTCATATACATATATACATACATATATGTAAAAAAAAACAACATATAGTATACGTTAGTTAGGCGATATATAGTTACGTGTATCGTCGCGATATTCGGTTACGTATTTTGTGCATATACTTACACACACGGATATTGTTGGTGTATCATTCGGATGTTATATATATTTTCATAATATTAGTATGTGTGCGTATGCGTGTATTATACATGCAAACGATATTATTTCATCCCAGTCACGTCAAGGTGGCAAAGTTTTGTTTACAATTGATACGTCATCGAAGCGCTATTCATCTCGCGTTGGATCCTAATATTTTGGATGCGTTCTTCGTGAGTAAAGGTGATCGAAACGAAGATTTCACCTTCAGTTAGTCTGAATCGAGCCGTCGAAGACGAAGAGAACGTCAAAGCAAGCTCGTAAGGTAAAAACGTTCTAACGAAAAGATTACTTTTGAACGTCGTCAGAACACATCTGTCCGCTTTTTTACGAACTGGAAGAAGTTACATTAATACGAGATAGTTCTTCTTCTCCGACGACGTTCATACATCAAGGATGTGCAGCAACAGACGAACGAAAAACGAGAGCAAAAAGGAATCCCTCTATGGTTCGTATATCGCGAAATTATAACCCCTACATCAGGGGTGGGCAACTTCTTCTCTGCTGCAAGCCGCACGGTCCTCACCATCAATCAACCCGTTTCATCTATTACTTAAATCCATTAGCCACCGATCCGTGTACCTTGTTAAAAATAAAAGCCGTGCAACTCACAAGGCACGGAAGTATCAAATAGTTAGAATCGTTTCCTTCTGTCTTACTAAAAAAAAACAGACAAGTAGGAGAAAGAATTACATGCGGCTCGCGAGCCGCCAGTTGCCGCCCACCCCTGTCCTGGCATAATGTTGATGAAAATTTTCTAGTTACAAATAAGAATCTCACATGAGATAGAAAAGAAAATTTATTTGGAAAATTATTAGTATTGTTTTTTAGGCTTACCAGATATACACAATTGTTAATGAACACAATATACTCTATTTGTTTTAGTTATAATATTATTTGCCTCTATTGTAAAATTATAAAGAAATATTTGAATTTGGTGAACATGCAATCTGGTCAGTCTAATGATAGTTTGCATTTATTTTTCTCGATCGACCTTATTAGCTTTATCATCCTTTTTGCTGCGCTAGGTTTTTTTTTCTTCTTTTTCTTTTTTATATATATTAACGGCGCTCCTTGCATTAACACTGCTTCATCGTGACTTCTCGCCATGACGAGCGATCATTTTGTTTAATGATCTAGTATATCACATTGTTGCCGTATTTTATCCTCCTGCACGCGTACCTACATATTACCATTTTCTTCGTAGAATTTCTAAGGTATATTTCGACATATAATCACGAGATCGAGAGAGATCGTTCGTATCAGCTTTTTTCAAACGATGGTACACGGCAATATATAGATGAACGACGTATCTTATCGCTCGCATTACCAGACGTAATCACTATCGTAAATATCGTTGGTAAAGTTTTTTTTTTTTTCTTTTTTTCTTTTTTCATTAGCTGGCATTGTGCATTAGTGAATCGATTCATCGCGTCGTCTCTTTTCGCTTGTTTACTTAAAATCTAACATATAAAATCGCACAGCACACAACACGGTAGATCGCATAGAAGCGCAACTTTTGCACGTTTTTGCAAGTAACCTTGATTTCTCTAGTTTACATTTTTAAGATATACCTGTGTCTTGAGTGTGAGTGTGCGCACTTGAACGTGCGAGTGAGTATGTGTGTGTGTGTGTGTGTTTTTTCCTCCTGAAGTCGATGTTCTCTCTCCTTAATTAGAAAAACTTATGTGTCCGAGTATCTTACACTAGCAAAGCACAAAGCGACAAAATTGTTTCACTTTTCAACCGACACGAAAGTTCGCGATGGGAATGCGAAATATTTCCTTTTTATAAAGTGGCATGCACGAAAATATATACGGGACACAACTTATGAGCTGTTTTGTTATTTCTGTTTAAAGTAGATTAGTTAAGCGTCTCGTTCTCTCTTCTCTTTTCGCACATTTTTCTTTCCTTCACTATTTATCTACTTTTCTCTCTTTGCATGTACTTATTTTTCTTTTTATCGTCGTCGCCTTCGCCGTCGCCGTTATTTTCGTCATCGTTTTCATCGTCGTCGCCGTCGTCGTCGTCGCCGTCGTCGTCGCCGTCGTCGTCGCCGTCGTCGTCGTCGTCGTCGTCGTCGTCGTCGTCGTCGTCGTCGTCATTGTATTTGAACATTTCATAAAATATACTATCCTCGTAATTTCTTTCTCGGAGGAATAATGCTTTATTCGGATATATAATATCTTAGAAAAATTTCCATTTCTTTGTTTTATTTGTAAATAAAAAGAAAAAAAAAACTGCGAAACAACGAACGGATATGATTCTTCCTCCGAAAATAGCAAATTCTTTGCATCTCTTTTCTCCTTTATTCTTTTTCAGTTAGTTTTTTTTTGGCTGTCGGCATACTATCACGATTCATGGTTTTTGCATTACACTTACCACGACTTTCATTCGTTTTTTCTTTCTGTCCACAGAAAATGATCTTCATCATAATCTGCGTCTTAATATTGGCCGTCATATTAATATGCATAATAATAGGATCCCTTCCGAGGACCTAAAGGGCCCGGGGGTGAAGAAAAAAACGGGGGTAGGGAGGGATGGATCGTTCGACAGAAAAGAGAAAGAAAGAAGGAATGAGAAAGAGAGAAAAAGAGAGAGAGAGAAGAGAGAGAGGGGCGGGGAAGAGAGAGAACCAAGAAGAATAAAAAAGTATATACATATATATACTTCCATAAATTATCGAACATCGGCGCGTTTATCGTGATGACGTCCAAAATCTCGTTCATTTCATGAGGAAACATAGCGTATGAAACGAAAAAGAGAGAAAGAAGGAAAGAGAGAGAGAGAGAGAGAGAGAGGGAAAGAAAGAGGGAGAGAGAGAGAGAGAGAAAGAAAGAAAGAAAGAAAGAAAGAAAGAAAAATCATGAATATCTTTTGTGCTGTGCGATCCAAGTTATCAAAATTCAAAGAAGAAGAAAAAAATGGAAAAAAACAAATAACTGCTAATGAATAGAAGCTCATAGAAAAAAAATAAAAATAATTAATAACAATAATAAATAATAATAATTATAATAATAATAATAATTATAATAATAATAATAATAATAATAATAATAATAATGATAATAATAATAACAATAATATTAATAATTATAATAATAATAATAATAATTATAATAATAATAATAATAATAATAATAATAATAATAATAATAATAATAATAATAATAATAATAATAATAATAATAATACATGCGACACACACGTATACATACATGCTCTAAACGTATGGACGAAAATCATCATGAGACGGAGACTAAAGCATCGCGTCGATTTTAGTAACACAGCAAATAATGTGTCTCCGTGTCCTCGAAATAATAAGCAAATGAATTAACAAACGCTCTTATTAATCCCTAACCGATGGCTAATTAACGCAATAATCCATTAATTGCAACTGCTCGCCTCGCTAATAATACGTAGTAAGTACGTTGTTAAAAATGCTGAAAAAAAAAAATTGCGCGTTTCGTAGCACGCTCTTCTCGAGATTTATTCATTAATTTATTGTCTTTTTTAATAACATCATCGTTATTGTCATCGTAGATAAATAATCGTAGATAATTTTTTGAAAAATACTCATTCAAATTTCTTATTTATTTATTTATTTATTTTTGTTTGATTATTAATATTGTTTCTACTCGAGAAGAGGGTCAATATACTCCTAATCTAACAAGACACCTGTCTTTTTCTCTCTGCGTGTTCGTTTCCGTTTCTATCGCTTGTTGTCCTTGTTCAGACGCTTTTCGAACATTCCAAAAAAAAAAAAAAAAAAAAAACAAAAACAAAAAAAAAGAAAAAAAAAAGAAAAAAAAATAAGAATCCATTAAATAATGTAGACGTCATTCTGTTCACAGAAATTGATCCTGATCGTAATCTGCTTGACGATAGCAGTCATCATTTTGATTATTATTTTGGTACTTACTATAAGTTGAAACGCGACCCGTGATACGAGGACTTTGGCTCTAATTAGGCACATATACATACATACACATACATATGTATAACAACGATGAATAGAAACGCGTGCAGTAATTAAATACTGTTGGATAGAACGCGTACATGTCCTTAAGTTCTCTCGCTTTCTTCTCAATGTTCTATTTCATGAGAAAAGATCACCGTAACAATCGATCACGATTCATGATTCACGTTATTTTTTTTTTCTTCCTTTCGTTTTTCTTTTGTTTTTTTTTTCTTTCTTTCTATTCTCAAAGACAATTTTTTGAATTCGAGTATATTTCATCTGATGAGATAGAGAAGAAAGGAGAAGGAAACAATCTCTTTCATTTAACGCCTTCCCCCTTCGAAATTTGATAGTAAAAATGGAAAAAAGAAAAAAAGGAAGAAAGGAAAGAAGGAAAATTATAGAATAATAAAAATGTTGTCCGCGCACGCGCACCTCGTCAATAATTTATTTCGATTTTCTATATTCTTTTTGTAAGGTTTGCTGCGATGTATATTCAATAGTTATTTTTGTCAAAAGAAAAGAACAGTTAAATGAAACAAACAGTGTCATATGAGAAAAGAAAAAGGGGGAAGGAAGGAACGGAGAGATAGCTTAGAGTAAATTAGTCCATTATGCCAGTCGAAGTTGCCACTCCAAAGACAGCATTTAAACGAAGCTCAGGATTTTTTCTTACTCAACATAAATAAAAACTATAACACACACTGATTCGATGAATTTCGATATATATATATATATGTAATATATACGTATATATACAATATAAACAATCCTCCTATATCTCCTAGGATTCAATTTTGGAAAATCATGAGATGGAGAAGAGAAGGAGGAAGAAGAAAAGATTTAAAAAAGATTGGAAAAAAAAAACAAAAAAAAATAAACAAACAAACAAATAGCTACAACTATCCAAATGCACAATAAAGTACGTCGGAATAATTGTCACTTATTTCGACGCGTTCCTTCGTGTTCGAACGTATTTTCACTGCCCTTTTCTGTTCATTTTTATTATCGTTTTCCACGCATATCACCGTTCCTCGATAGACGAGTAAGATAGAACATAAAAGACTTTCTAAGGAAAAAAAAAAAATAACTGATTAATAAGTATTATTCATTGTATAGATGAAGATGAAGATGAAGAAAAAAGATAATAAAAAGAACAAAAAATAACACAAATATACGAAAGTGGACTTTCGATCTAATACAATTTCGTACTATACGAAGTACTGGACAATTTAGTCACGTCTCACTGGTCGAAGCTTATTAATAATATTAATTAATTAACGCGAATTCACAAGATTCATCTTGCCGATGTCACTTTTCTTTTTTCATTCTTTTTTTCACGTTTAATCTCTTTGAAACTTTGTTTTCTCCCTCGAGCGAGAAATTGAATATGATTAGTGAATTCGTTGTTTGATTTAATTTAATGACCACTTAATTATTTAATTAATTAATTAATATATATATATATATATTGTATATACACATACACTCCTTATAAATAGCGATAAGTCATTTTCGTCAAAGTAGACGGAAAATTTTTGTTCGAATCATTGCATTCTGTAAATAATTGCAATTTGTATTAAAAAAAAAAAGCAGAAAGAGATAGAGAGAGAGAGAGAGAGAGAGAGAGAGAGAGAGAGAGAGAGAGAGAAAGAAAGAGAAAAAGAAAGAAGGAGAGAAATATTGAGAGATAGAAAGAACAATATGTTTCTTATTTTCTCTTTCACGTTTAAACGTTCATCGTCAATTAACGTTCACGTTAATTAGGTAATTAAAAAAGACAAATAATGTACAGCAAGTTACAGACAAACAAACGAAAGCGTGTTAATGTACAAGAAGATCAAAAAAGGAGGAAAAATATTGCTTTGTGTTAATAGGCTGATAAACGATAGGAAGACAGTGTAGGGAAGAAGGAAAGAGAGAGAGAGAGAGAGAGAGAGAGAGAGAGAGAAAGAAAGAAAAATAAAGGAAATATATTGGAGTTATCAACAA